GTTTGTGTCGTTATTTTATTTTGAAAGTGTTCGTGTTCGTTCTATTGTTCGTAAACATGTTCGTTTAATGCTCGTGAACGAGTTCGCTTATATGTTACGAACGTGTTCATTTAACTTTCATGAACATGTTCTTTTTATTGTCTATCGTCCTTTATATGTTCAGTTTTAGTTTTACCCTTTCGTTTCAAACTAAATAAAAATGATAAAATTATGCAACTTGTCCTTAAACTCTTTAAAATTCATAGTTTAAATTTTAACTTTTATCATTTGTTAAATTTAGTTCAAACCTTTTAATATTAAAATGTAAAAAAAAGAAAGAAAAAGAGAATGATAACAAGTTTGATCATGAACATAAATGAACGAACAAGATAACAAACTTGTTTATGAATATAAACGAACGAACACACTCTATTCGTGTTTGTTCGTTTATTAAATGAATAATTTTTTTACACATTTATTCAGAACATAAAAACATTATACAAAACGATTTATGAACAATTAACCGAATACTATTCATGTAATTGATTAGTGAATTGGTCTATTATCTCCTCCAAGCGATTTGGTTGGTGAAGGATGCTCTTCGTTGCTATTACGGAGTCGCTTTGTTAAGTATACGGTCGTAATCCAACTACAACCCCCCCCAATTAGGACATCATAACAATCTTTCTTATTAATTTTTTTATATAATTATCATCATTTTGGAATAGATTACGTTAAATTATATGTTATAAAAATTTATTATAAGACTAACCATTAATTTGTTTTTTTATATTCACAATATCATTTTTGAATTATTGATTTAATACTCTTTTATTTTATTATTGATGATTATATTGATATTTATTATTATGAGAGTCTATAATAATAATAATAATAATAATAATAATATAGAGAATCCGTGCGAACGTGCGGCCACTGTCATAATTATGAACGTAGACATGACAATTGACAAATTGATGAATAGTGCGTGCAAAATGATTAAATTGACCCCAACTGAATGTTTCTTGAGAAAATTTAGTGGTTCGAATTTTAATAATATTATAATAAATTAAATTGAAAGAATTAATAATAATAATTTTAATAATAGTGGGCCACCGTATATTCGCGACCGTGTCAGAAGAGACAAAGAATTCGCACGTGAATTATATGTCAATATATGATTGGTAGATATGATAGTAATATTTAGGGTAACTATAAAAATGGTCAATTTTTTCACAAGTTTTTTTATTCATTAAATGTTTAAAAATAATATTTGGTGAACTATATTATGATTTATAATGTTTTGGTCATTGATATATAAGTTTTATTTTTATAATGTTATGATTGATATACAAGGTTATTGATATAACTTAAATGATGTTAGTTTGTTGAAGTATAACAAAGAATTCGCACGTGAATTATATGTCATATATGATTGGTAGATATGATAGTAATATTTAGGGTAAACTATAAAAATGGTCAATTTTTTTCACAAGTTTTATTTTTATCATTAAATGTTTAAAAAATAATATTTTGGTGAACTATATTATGATTTATAATGTTTTGGTCATTGATATATAAGTTTTATTTTTATAATGTTATGATTGATATACAAGGTTATTGATATATAAGACTTAAATGATGTTAGTTTGTTGAAGTTATATGTTAGTAAAAAATTATTATTTTTAACTTGAACCCTCAAATTTAGAAAAAAATATTAATTTGATCGTAAATTTTAGATCAACTACCAACTTACTCCTCGAACTTTAAAAAAAACGAGGGTGTTTGACAAACAACTGATAACTAGTAGTTGGTTTGACCAACTGATTTGATTAAATGTTTTTATAGAAGTGTTTGGTAAAATTTAGGTGATAGTTGATATGGGTAAAATGACAAATAAGGGTATGATACATTTAGTTGTTAAGTACATATATGTTTTATAATATTTTAGTCTTTATCGGGGTGAAATTATTCGGATAAAATATTTTTGACTAGGAATTAAAAATTCCTTAAGAAAATTATTGAATATTTTAAAAAAATGAATATATATTTTTAAATTTAATATTTATAAATATTAACCTTGTGAGATTTATACATACGATAAACTTTGTATAAAATATCAACACTACATTTTTTTTTTACTTTCATGTTTTGCTATATTTTTTTAATTAAAATATATTTGAGAATCTACAACTAAAAAATAGAATAATAAAATAAAATTTCAGCTTAAATATATTGGGATGAAGACTATTTCATTATATTAGGTTTTATGGTAAGGATGTAATTATGGAAAAAAATAATGTCAAATATGTCATTTAACATCTTATTTTGCAATAAGTTCTTCTAAATCGCTGGATTTTCTAGCGTTTTCATTTTTAGTTTATTTTGCACAATAAACTTCTTCAAAATGGTGTTTACCAAACACTAAAAACGGTATCAAGTTGTATTTGTGAAATTTGGACTATTCTCTAATAAAACATATACAAAATTCAGATTCATAAAAAAACCAAGTGAGTTGAAAATCCAGTCATAATATTTCACTTAATCTTCAAAATAAAATATCATTTTATAATTTGACATTAAATATCAGAATCGGTCGAAATTAACTTCATGATAAATTTGATTCAATCTGACGGAAAGAGGAAAACCTCAATGGCTTTTCTAGGAGGCTTCCAGTTTCTATTTTTTCTGAAATGAAATCTGCACATTTAGATCGAGTCTTGTCAGATTATGTTCGTCCCCATGTCCACGGGGTTCACAACCGACAAATCTAAAGGTTAAAAATGGTTGGGTTATTGATGTTTGAAAGTATGTCTGCTGGTGCTGATGTAGTTGGAACATCCCATCACAATTTTTTCCTTATTATTACCAATAATAATACTCATTCCTTCTCCTCCACTCACTTTCCGCGTCGCTTCCCCCGCCGTTTTCTATCCGCCGACGACATCTTCTTAAAGAACAACCCTATCGTCGTTCCATCCCAAACTCGTCATCCTCGTTACTGTTTCTATTGTATCGCTTCTTTCGTTGCTGTTGGCAATTGGGTTCTTATTGAAATTCCTCAAACGCCGTAAACCCACGGTGGCGAGCGGCGGGGCCGATGAAGAAAAGGGAAGAGATTTAAGCGTCGAAGAAGGTAAAGGGTGTGTTAAGAGGTTTAAATGGGACGAAATTAAGGATTCGACCAAGTATTTCTCGCGTTTGATCGGACAAGGAGGGTTCAGCAATGTCTACTTGGCTAACTTGTCGGATTCCACCCTGGGAGCAGTCAAGATCCATGTCAGAAATGATCGGTTAAATCAAGTGTTCAAACAAGAACTGGATATTCTGACCCGAATCCGACATGACAACATCGTTAAATTCCTTGGCTACTGCGATGATCAAGGTAGTTACTTTAACTCTTCAACAATCGCTAAAGAAAGATTTACTATTTTTTTTATAATATCTGTTCATTTTATTTTACAGAGGAAGGCGCGACGGTGTTAGAATACGTTCCGAATGGAAATTTACAAGAGAAACTCCATGGAAACGGAAGGGAATTGCTTCCATGGAAGACCCGTATGAGCATAGCTTTTCAACTTGCCGAAGCAATCGAGTACTTGCACGACAAATGCAGTCTCCAGATAGTTCATGGCGATATCAAAGAGTCCAACATCTTGTTAGACGAGCAGTTCAACTGCAAGCTCTGCGATTTCGGGTCGGCGAAGATGGGATTTTCGTCGACGGTGGTGCCGCAGAAGACTAATCAGATAATGGTCGGCTCGCCGGGGTACACCGATCCTCGTTATTTGTGGACCGGTATTGCTTCTAAGAAGAACGATGTTTATAGTCTGGGTGTTATTATTTTGGAGCTTGTGACTGGGATGGAAGCCTTTTGTCCCGAAAGGGGACAATTGTTGACGACGATGGTGGCACTGAACCTGAGGGAGGTTGTTGAGGGTGGTGGTGGGGCGGCGGGAGATGGTGGATCCAAAGCTGGGTGGTGAGTTCGACTTGGAAGAAGCAAAAGCTATGCTCTTAATCGTTGAACTCTGTCTTCGAAAATCACCTACCGTTAGGCCTTCTGCTGCAGAAATAGTGCAGACAATGAATAATAAAATCGGTTCCGTTGGTTCACGGTTGTTGCCGCCGGCCAGAGAGTGCCATTGTTGAGTGACTAATGGGGATGGTCGTGTTTGATTCAGTTTGTTGCAATTGTTTGTACGTACATAGAAAAACCAGAGAGTTCCATGGACTGGGTGCCCCAGATTAGATGTCATATTTGTATTGTAGATTCAACACATGAACTGTACATTGAATGTCTGTAACTGCAGTTTCCAGAAACGAAAAAATATACAAGAACAGCATTGAGTTTCAATACACCACGTTAGTGACTTTATGACATTTTTTTTGTTTGATGGTCAAAATAGAATTTATTTTATAGTTCAGTGACTACATATACAGTTTTTCTTTTTACAAGTACGTCGTTTAAACGGATTCATAGGGACTAAATTTAATCAGTTTCTGTAATGGAGGGAGAAAATTGATATTAGAGGGACTAAATGGAGTAGTCCTTACAACAGAGGGACCTGCAACAAGTTTTGTCGGGAAAAAACATTCTCCGTCATTTTCTCCATAATGGAGGTGATAAGAACACAAATGGAAGTTCGATTTCCAACCAAACATAAAAACAATCTAAATTAATTACTATTAATTTCTACCGTTAAAACAACATTTTTCAAAATGGTAGGATATATTATTGGTCAATGAATTAGTTTGACGGCAAAGATTTGATTCCCATTCCCTTTATATATATATATATAGTTTTTTTTTTCCTTCCATTCACGTCCCTGTGAATCATCAAAATGTGCAAATTCGTTGCTTCGAGGCAAGGATTTAAACCTTGAGAAAAAGAGAGTATTTTCATGGAATTTCCTTTATTCTGAGAAAACAAAGGAAGCAGCATTAAACGCGAGCTTTTCCTTTTCTTTTCTTTTACAATTTTGCTTTAAAAAAAAGAAGGAAAGCTCGCTTTCATTTTTCCGGAAATTTTGAAAGGATTTCAAAGCAAAACGATGGTGACGCTGGTGTCGATCCAAATCCACGAATCCGCATTGTCACTGTTGTTGTTATTGCTGCTGCTCGTCATTCCTTCTTCTTCTTCTGACGTCGAATCGCAACGGAATTTCACGGCGGGCATCTTGTTGCCGTCCGATGCGGATGATGCGTGCGGTGTTTCGCCTCCCTCGCGGCGCTATTCGTGCCCGGTTAACTGCTTCAGGACGGATCCGGTTTGCGGGGACGACGGAGTTACGTATTGGTGCGGGTGTGCAGACGCGCATTGCTCGGGGGCCAAGGTTGCAAAGATGGGATTCTGTAACGTCGGAAATAACGGCGGGACCGGATCTTTCTCTGGTCAGGCTTTACTTTTGTTGCATATAGTTTGGCTCATTGTTCTAGGCTTCTCTGTTTTCTTTGGCCTAATCTGAATTATCTCTCTGTATTTTTTTTAAAAAAAAATTCTAAACAATTTCCTATTTTAAATCCTCATCTTTTAAAGTCACCATTGATACAGTGAAATTTTACAAGATTTTCTTTTATAGCTATCATTTTCAACATGTTTTTTTTAAATCATGTGTATCAGGAAGAGTTGATAATATAACTTAATATTATTAGATGGCAAACTGAGAAGACAGGTACGAATACACTTTTTTTATTTTTATATTCACCCAATACTTTTATATTCATTACTTATCCAAAGTTGATATTAGGTAAAAAATTTAAATTCATATAGGTCTACGTAGAAATATTTTAAATCTACTATTTAACTGGATATCTACTATCCATCTCGTAATTACCTCCATTAGTCAATATCCGCCTAACACCAATCTCATAGATTCCATAAACAATAAAATATAAGACAAATAAATTCGTTAAGAAACATAATAAAATAAATCAAAGATTAATTAAGTTTATATCTTATCATTTGATTAAATTACAAGTCATGTCATGTAAAATCTTAAGATTTATAGAATAGTCTCTGAAATTATACATTAATATATAATAATCCAAAAAATTATATGATAAGTAATTAGTAAACGGACACATATAAGACTGACAGATACAAAACGGATAAAGTCTTAAATTTATTACTTACTTACTACTCCCGATGAATATGACCTTTTATAACTACATCTATTTACTACCTATTAAACTTATATCTATTCATACTTTAATTAAAACGGGTGCCATGCTAAATCTATGAAATTATAACCGAGTCACTATTTAATACAGTACGTAGGATAAAGTACATTACTTGACGTGGACCCCATCCCATTGCCTACCCCTATCATACGAGGCAGATGGAGGTTTGGTTTCATATTATGAGGCACACACAACCCAACATGGGAGGCGCGGTGGGGCCAGTTATTACATTTTTTTTTCTCTTTTGTAAAATTTGTAGGAATAATTATTTATTGAATGTTTTGCTTGTAGATTAAGGAATGAAGCAGTCCATTGGATTAGGTTCCTTCGAAACTTCAACTTTGTCCCTGTTGGTGATAGAGACCATAGCTTCGTTGACCAAAGCGCATAGTTATAACGGGGAGTTGGATGCTCAAGTGATTGAGATAATTTGAATTGGACTATTTTCAATACAAAATAGAAGGAATATTTTTTTTTCAAAATTATATTCTCATATTTGGTTTATGAAAAAAATATCATAATATAATAATATTCGTAATAGTAGTATTTTTAGATTAAAATGAGATAATGATATTCCTTTTAAATTCTTAGGCAATAAACAATACACACTATTTAAAACAAAAATACCTATAAAATAATTATTTTTTCATATGAATCCTTCACAATTCTTTTTATTTTTGAATTACTCAAAATTATAAACTTAATAATAATAAAAAAAATGTTTAATTTAATGAAATATTAATAATTTTGAGTAGATAAAATGATTTTATATTTTCAATATTTAGTATATTAAACATTTTAAAATTTTATAAGGTGAAAATGTTATTAATGTAAAAATGTATTTATTTAAATTTAAATTAATTTTTGATTAATTAAAAAATAAATTGTATACATTAAAAATAATATATTTGTCCACTTGAGATCACAATATTATTTTTCATATTATATTATATTTTATATAAATAAATATGATACTTCTGAAAATTATTTAAAATTATAAGTTTGATATACTAATTATATTAATTATATGTTAATTTTTTTCTTTAAAATTAGATAGTATAATAATTAAAATATTTTTATGAGTTTTCACTCAAATATTTAAAATTTACTATTAAAGTTTTACTTGTTAAAATTATATATGACAAAGATAATTTAGTAAAATATGCATCAAAGTAATCTTATATTTCTCCAACAAAACACTATAATTTTACATTCCTATTAAACAAACCAAACAGGGTAATACAATATTCTCAGAGTAATGTTACATTCCGGTAATCTTACATTTCGTGAACTAAACATACTCTAAGGATAAAGTACATAAATAATCTCATGATTATAGGATATTGTTTTATTAAATCCATCGACTATTAAAAGTTATAAAATGATTATCCGACTATAGAGTGTTGATTTGTTGAGTCCCTTAATTATTAAAAATTATAATACGATCACTCGACTATTTATGATGTTTCAAACTTGTCATTTTCCTTTAAAAAATTGATAATTGTCCGAGTTAGACGTTGACATGATGATTGATATAATAGTCGTTTGAGATTCTATGATCAAATTATATCATATTACAGTTAGTAGGTTAACGTTTAGCTCAGAATATCGTCAATTTTTTAACGAAAAAGGACGAGTTTGGAACATGATGAATAGTCAGGTGACCATTTTGTAACGTTTAAAAGTTAAAAGACTCAACAAAGCAACTATTTATAGTCGAAGAACCATTTTATAACTTTTAATAGTTGAAGGACTTAAAACAATATCTTATAGTCAATGTACTATTTTTTTTACTTGACCCTAAAAATAATTAAGTAATATTATAATGCATACATTTAGAGATGGCAACGAGCCGAGTCGACCAAAAACCCAACCCAAAAATCTACATCCTCCACCTGAACTTGACTCAACCCAAAAATTTTATATCTTCCACCCAACCTGACTTGAAAAAATATACTCTCCACCGACTCCGATCCGACTCAAATTTTTAAAGTATAAATCCGACCCAACCTGACCCGATATAAAATAAGAAATGAATTAAAAAATAATAAAAAATTTAAGAAAATTGCATTATTATCCTCAGATCGGGTCGATTTTTTTCACCTTCCACCTGATCTCACCCCTTAAAAAATCCAATGTAACTATAGACACGACATTACTTGCAAAATATAGTAATCGTATAATTAAGGGGCTTGTGGGTCATAGTTTGTTTTCACATCATAGTGTGAAATATGTTTTGATATTCTATATTATTGAATTTTGTTTTATCGTAAGAATGATTCTTGAACTTTTATTTATAAATTATTTACGCTTTGAAATGGTTTAGGAAAATTTTAAATTTTTGCCAATTTTTATAATAGATCGCTCTAATGATCCTAATATGATATTTCGGATCGAATTACCCGCATTCATACGAGGGGTTACATTTAGTAAACAATTTAACCTATTTATTGTCTACCCCTAATTTTGCTCAATAATATAATGCATACAAATAATAAGGTTGTCTTAACAATGGTATTATTGTACTATGAATTATATAATTATTTTTCTCCATTTTTTAGAGTAATGGGGTTAATCGTAAAAGCAAATTATTTGACAACTTCTATAGTGGAATATGATCAAACGCGGACATTAACCGAAATTAAAAAGAGAGTAAATTATGCAGATAATTTTCTACGTTTTCAGTTTGATCGACTTTAGTTACCGATTTTAAAATTAAAAGGGAACGGTCCCTAACATTATTGACCGATTTGATTTTAATCCCTAACATTATCGATGCGTTCGATTTTAGTTTCTCAATCGTTAACTCTCATTCGAATTTTAGTCCTTCAATCATATTAGAAACTTAAAGAAAAAGGACAAACAAAAGGGGTTAATGGACATTAATTGATGAGTGACTAAAATCGAATAAATCGATAATATTAGGGATCATTCCCCTTAATTTTTAAATTGGTGACCAAAGTCAAGCAAACAAAAAAAATAAGGACTATCTGCATTGTTTACCCAAACAATAAAACAAGTACTAATAATTTTCTATATATCCATTGAAAGGCAAAAGTAAAGCAAACTATGGGCCATGGAACCTCTTCAGCAAACACTTGATCAAAATCTTTCGTATCCAAATCCTAATTCCCTCTGAATCTTCTCGTAATTCTTCACTTTTCCTACAACTTTTTGGACTTGCCGAAAGATCCCTTTTCTTTGGGTTTAATAAAAGCTAATCATGGATGTTATTTCACTGAATTCACTGCCCATCGGAATCCGATTCAGACCAACTGACGAGGAGTTGATCGATTGTTACTTGCGGTCCAAGATAAACGGAGAAAGGGTCAATGAGGTCGGAGTGATTCGTGAAATCGATGTCTGTAAATGCGAGCCTTGGGATTTGCCTGACTTGTCTGTTATAAAGAGTCGAGACCCGGAGTGGTTCTTCTTTTGCCCGCTCGACCGGAAGTATCCAAACGGAAGCAGGCTCAACCGGGCTACCGGTGCTGGTTACTGGAAGGCTACGGGTAAGGATCGAAAGATAAAGTCCGGGTCTAGCTTGATCGGCATGAAGAAAACTCTGGTGTTTACACCGGCCGGGCTCCCAAGGGAAAGCGCACCAATGGATTATGCACGAGTACCGTACTACCCTCGATGAGCTCGACGGCACCAAGCCCGGACAGGTTTTTCTTTTGACTTAAATATTGAGGTTTCAGTTTGATTCCAGTTGAGGGTTCGATCCTTTGTTAGTTTTGCTCATATTGTTTGACTTTTTGGTGTATTGTTCTGCAGAATCCTTTTGTAATTTGTCGTCTATTCAAGAAACAAGACGAGACCATCGAAGATATTAATGGCAACTTCGTTGATCCCGGCACATCGTCTCACACCGAAGATGTGCAATCTGAGTTTGATGTGCCGCGAGACAAGCCTGCGGGGGAAGTGAAAGCCGAAAAAGTTCCCAGTAGCAGTGAAACTTGTCTTGAAGGTTTAGATAACAAAATGATGTACCATTTAGGAGGTCAACTGGTAGAAATGGCACCTGCAGAGGTGAGAAAATGAAACTCGATTTGGATTTAGATTTAGATTTCGATCAGTTTTGGATTTTGCTGTCATAGCTTTTGCGCTTATGTTGTTTGATTTTCAGGTGGATGTACTTGGAGAAGCTTTGAATCACTTTTATGATCCAAGATGGAGCCTCTGGATTGGCAACTTTTCTCCGTTGCATTTGCAGATCAAAGGAGAGGGGGCTCCTTGGATGTTAGATCATGTCGGGAACGATTTTAGTGGGTGGAGTTTGAGTATGGCACAAATGAAAATGATGCCTATAGTTCCCACTTCAAAACCTCAGATGACTACTAC